TTTCTTGAACATGACAATGAGTCATGATGTCAACCCAATAGAGCATCTTTGGGATGTGGTGGAATGGGAGCTTAATGCCCTGGATGTGCATCCCACAAATCTCCATCAACTTCAAGATGCTATCCTATCAATATGGGCCAACATTTCTAAAGAATGCTTTCAGCACCTTGTTGAATCAATGCCACGTAGAATTAAGGCAGTTCTGAAGGCGAAAGGGGGTCAAACACCGTATTAGTATGGTGTTCCTAATAATCCTTTAGGTGAGTGTATATGTATATGTATATGTCTGTGTATGTGTGGCTGCAGTATGTACGCACACAAACTGGTGTATATATAGCATGTTCATTCTAAACATTTTGTTGTTTACTTGCTGGGTGTATGATTGACAGGAGTATGAATGACCAGCGCGAGCTTGTTCTAACATATGTTTGTGCGCATTTCCCTTTATATGATAACAACATGAAGATAAAGAATCTCAAATCTTGAAGGTCATCAGCAGCCTCAAGCTAAAGTTTCGATCTGAATGAACGGTTGGGGTCCCCGTGACTCACCTCCGCCTCCCCCCCCTCCCGACCATTCACACCACTGAGAGCTCGGCACGAGCCGGCATGACGGGGAGATTTACGAGATCCGTACATGCATGCGAGATGACATAAAGTATGCACTGCATCTCAGCTCCTAGTATGAACTCTATTCGCTGTCACACATTTTCATCAGAACTATTGTTCGGTACACAAACATAACTGCACTTTAATATACATGGATATACTGTGCTTTAAAATATATGCACAATGTATAGGAATGTATACTATTACTTAAACATATGCACCCTGTGTATCTTCTATATCTATGCACAGGAGTGACTGAGTCTACATTTAAGTACATGTTTTTGCTTGTATTACTATATACGTAACAAAAAATCTTAGGTTTTAAAAGTGGCTAAGTACGAATTTGCTGAGACTTGAAGTGTTACGGTTATTTGGTTGGGCTGTGGTTTTGCAGCATTTCCTTACAGTTCCTTTTCTGTTCATTAGTTTCTATGTTTTTTTTTGGCGGGGGGGTGTTGGTCACAGAACTTAAATTTCCTTGTCTGTTCATTCGGCAGTACAATTAACTGCATCTAACGGTCCTGAATGCGGAACTGAAAACTGCAGAAGTATGAGAATCTCCTCTCTGGAAGGTGACGTTACAGCGGCAGACCCCAATAAAAGGAAGTCATCGATGTTTTAGAGCTTTGAGAGACGCTCACTGTGCACACTGGACACAGTCCGTGTGTCACTGTTATACAATGGCAGTGCATGGCCACTGTATGCCGGCATTATTGTTAATTCTGTTTCACATTATGCCAGGTAAGTGCTTATTAGAATCATCAGGTTCACTGGTTGTCTAATATTTTATTGTAATTTGATTATTTAGAGTAATAAATAATTCATGCTTAAGAATCTTTATTTGATAACTAAAAGGTTATTCTAAGATTAAGTATGGCATAACACTGAGGTTTGACGGGAATGTTATACCGTTTGTAACCATCTAAGATAATCAACAAACAGGGTAAGTACGTGTCATAGGCCTGTAAGTTTCACATTTAATCCGTTTTGCAATATTTACTGTAAAGCCTGCAGATTAATCATGATGCGTCGCCCCTCAGTTTGTCAGTGTTTGCCGTTTCTGTGCTGTTTTCTCTCCCAGTTGCTGAGAGCTCTGAGATGATCACTGGATTTGTTGGGTATAACGTGACCCTGCCGTGCTCCTACGATGCAAAGCATTACGGGGGGATTTATATGTGCTGGGGGAGAAGTGAAATATCTTATAGTGGCTGTGACAATGAAATCATCGCGACAGATGGATTCAAAGTGACACAGAGAAAATCACACAGGTATCAGTTAAGCGGTGACTTGAAACACGGTAACGTATCTCTGACCATCATCGATGCTGAGATGGGAGATTCTGGGATATACGGCTGTCGTGTGCAAATACCAGGACTATTTAATGATCTGAAACACCAAGTTACCTTGACTATGCAAAGTGAGTACAAGACATTTTGTTTAGCTTCATAAGGAAATATTGTAGTTTCTTTTTCTTTCTGTGCACATGTCTAAATGTGTGTCCTGTGATGCTGACGGTGCTGTTGTTCTTTCTGGCATTCACACGTTCACATGTAACATCATATGTGACACATGCTTTCTAACAGATATTCATAACACGACTGCATCACCATCCAGTACAGCCAGCCCAGAGACACAGACTGTGATCAGTGTTACGCAGGGTAAACCTGTTCACTCCATTATGATGCATTTTTTAAAATAAAACTTAAGAATTCCACCGTCCTTTTATTATTAAGTTTAACGTTCAGTGTGCATTCATTTGTTTAACGCATTATTCTGAATTTGATCGTTATGTTTTCATGTCGTTGCACCTATAGGTCACAAAAGTAGTTTTTCTACAGGAAGTTCCACTGCAAACACACCACAAGGCAGCGGTCATGTGAGTGGGACTGTGTTTGTGCTCAGAAGTACTGCAGCTCTGTAACACAAACCAGATATTAATGATGGAGGAATATAGGAGGTCATAGCAGAGGTTTATGTGGAAGCCCAACACTGACATAATCCGAGGGCCGTCTATGTGAGGGGTCAGAGCTGACCCCCGACAGGGAGTCTGTGTGGTATTCTGTTATTTCACTGAGACTGTGCTGATGTACAGGTCTGTGTCTGCAGTCTGTAGGAATGAAAAAGCTGTTTTGTCTTTGCAGGCAGACAGACCCTTCCTCGTCATTGCATTGGTGATCCTGCTGTTGCTGTTGCTGTTGGTGGTCCTGGTGACAGGTCTCTGGTTACGCAAACGTAAGCTGGTCAATTGAAGCCTGTACAGCAGGGATGGGCAACCCTGATCCTGGAGAGCCGGAATCCAGCAGTTTTCCATCCTACCTGGTCTCTGATGAATCACACCTGATCTCAGGCAGACAGTAACTCATCAGGTAGGATGGAAAACCTGCTGTATACCGGCTCTCCAGGATCAGGGTTCCCTACCCCACTGTAGACCAATATGAGGAGTAATGGTACAAGGAATACAATGTATCACATGTAATTTATCTTTATTTATTCATTTTTAAAGGAAAACAGCAGAGAGAAGCGAGGACACTGGCTGCAGTGTAAGTACCATACTGAGCTGCTGTATTTAATGACTGTTGGGAAAGAAGCTGCCCAGTTAGTAAGTGGAGCTGGTGACCTCAGGTCTGTATAGTGGCTCAGTGAAGAAGGTCGGCACCTTGATGTTCAAGCACCATGTCAGATGTTTCCTCATACAATCCAAACTATTCATCGTTTGTGTGCGTATGTCTGTGTGTCTGTGTGTTTGCGTGTGTGTCTGTGTGTGTCTGTGCGTGTGTCTGTGCCCCATGTTATTATCCATTATCATTAGCTACCTGATCCGGGCACTGACCAATTTTTAAAAATTTGTGTAATGGTCACCTGAATTTTAAATATGTATTTTTGAAATGACATATGTATTGTTCACTGGAACAGTACATGAATAGTCATGTAAAAAGTAAGCTGGTCTCAGTTTACCTATTGGTCTCTGGTCTTCTCTTCCAGGGAAAATCAGACAGATGTCTCAGTGCATTATGGGAACGTGGGCGCCCACACTGGGTTCCACCCCAGAGGGATGGTCATAGAGAACATATATGAACAAAGGGACTTTGGCGACTATGAATCCTGCCCTTAATGCCTCTTACACTTAACCTGACATCTCTACTTGTTCCTCAGCTGTACAGTGGGTGGAAATGTTCACACTGATATTAATAGTTGGTGAGAAGGTTGGCGGACTTTTATTTTTCTTCTCTGATATCTGTCAGAAACGCTGTATATTTTATTAAAAAATTTCAAGACTCAAGAAGAGTCAAGAACTTTTTTCAATGTATGGAGCAAAAACACAGAACAACATCTCCCAAACAGCATAATACAAGAATTAAAGGTCAAAGCAATTATACACATAAATGTAAATTATTTTCTGTCATTTGTCTATTGTATAAATCCATATAACTGAAGTTCGGTGGAAGAATGTGGCTATTAAAGTCTTAAAATGAAGACTAAAATACATGTAAAACATGTTTATGTGTTTTGACAGCTTTGGCTATAACGTTAATCACAGTGAGCACTATTTCCAACTTGAAAACACTGAGGTCCACATTGGCCACCATGATATTTATTTGTTCCTTAAAGATGTGCTGAGTGTCCCTCCTTTGGTAGGAGAGAAGCCCTACTTCTGGGTAAACGCAGGAAAACACATCGGCTTCTCTCCTTAACAATGGCTCTATCTGTTTCCGTCGGTGCTAACAATGTCACACTAACAGGCCCTGGAGAACAGCCCCCCATTCAGGCCCGGTCGGCCAGGGGGCGGGCGTTAGTCTCGCCCCCCCCCCACGCAGCACCCTGGCACTGCTCTGGGCTCCTGGTGCCCCTGCTGTACCTCTTCACAGGGATGGCCGTCAGGAAGGGCACACTTAAGCTCCACTGGATCCTCGTGTTCAGCACTGCGGGTAAAGAGACATCAACTCGTCGCTAACCGCTAACTGGGTAAAAGCTAATGCTTTAGCGGCATCGCTAACAGGTGCCGGTGCGCTTTGTTGTTGCTGAGCTGCCTGTCACAGTCACTCACGCTAATGCTACCGTCACAGGAAATCTCTCTCCTTTTCTCTACTTGTCGCTAATTTCCTGTTTCTCAATTTGTATAACAATAAGTTAACAAAGGCAGATTATTATCAAATGATCATGCATTCTAACCCTTCTGACTTCACGTATGTTGTCACCATGGTCCTGCGGCTGCTATAGACCAGATGAATGTGGTTGGCTGGCGTTGGTGATCGTGTGTGACTGCGTGTCCTGCAATGGCCAGGCATCCTGTCCCGGTTTCTATGGCCTCATGCCCTGAGTTTCCTGGATCAAGCCCCTAGGCTCCCTGTCCTGGATACCTGCTTATGGGATGTTGATGGACACCTTTCCAGCATTTACGTAGTTTTTCCATTTCATTTGATCGAGTGTCTAGTCAGGTCCCTTTGAGAAGCGTATGTCAAAAACCCGACTAAAGAATAGAATGCCTTTTATTGTCATGATACACTGAGATCAAAAGATGATCAAAACAAGTGGTGAACCCTGACCTACATTGACATTCTTATCAGCAGTTGGCTGGTGTTCTGCTTCGACATACGAGGCCACGGAGGGCGGCTTGGTCGTCCTGCCCTGCCGGTACTCTGTGAAACGACACGGACTGAGCCACCTGTGCTGGGGTCGAAGCTGCGGCACGTTCTGGTGCCACGACATCCTCCTGCAGGCTGACGGCGACGGCGTCATCTCCAAGGTCTCCGAGAAGTACCGCTTCACCGGCGACGTCCTTGCCGGACATGTGGACCTGATCATCCCGAGGGTGAAGGCCCTGGACGGCGGGCTGTACTGCTGCCGGGTGGACATCGACGGATACTTCAACGACAAGAAGATCCTCCACACACTGACAGTTGTAAAAGGCAAGGGGAATTCACTTCTTTGAGTTACTTCTATTTTCCTTTTCAGTCCCTACAAATATATTATATTACCCATCATAAACTGTCAACCTATGTAGATATTCATGTAGATGTAATATATATTACATCTATGTAGATGTAATATATATTACATCTATGTAGATGTAATATAAAATTAGTAGTATTCCAAACAATCGTTTACCAGCAATGGAGATGCTTGTTGTTTAAAAGGAACCTTGTGTTAATAACTGAAGCAGGTATTTCATTTGGCAGATTTACATTCCTGTCTAAAATCAGTAGGAACTTCCCCCAAACACTGGCTATCAGAGGTTATCGCCTGTTTTTTTTTTTTTTTGTAGCTCCTGTAGCAATGACATCATCGCTGGCTCCAGTCACACACGTCACAAACCCGTATTCTACAACATGTGAGTACGAAATAATGCGACTGCAGACCTCGGTCACGTGTCAGTCGTATAAAATGTCTGTGTTGTAATGTTCGAGTTTTCTTCATCGCGTGCGCAATGGAGGCCAGCCTTGCCTGTTTGAATAGTCACATGTCTGTGGGCCCTTGAGCGAGGCCCTTAACCCCCAGCTGCATGGATGCCGCTGCAGGGGGCTGCCCTTCGCTGCCAAGCTCACCCTCACCTACATGTGGGTCACGGAGAGCAAGATGGGGTCGGCGAAAAGAGAATTTCCCCACAGGGATCAATGAAGTGTCATTATAAAAGCGATATCCTCTAAACAACAAGAGGAGGCGGGACCAACCAATCAGATGTCTCGGTCCCACCTCCTCTAGTTGCTTGGACCCACCTCCTCTACAAACTGATTGGTTATCTCTCTGAACCAATCATTTTTTTGTTCAGCCCTCAGAACGTTTTTGTGTAACATACCCATGAGCCGGAGTAGCAGGGCAGAATGTGGCCGCACAGGGAGTAGAGCTGGGGGGGCGGTCACAATCCAAAGGGATTGTTGATGGTGATGCTTGACGATGTGTATCCGCCCACCTGGACAACCTGGGGTTTGTCCGTCAGAAAGTTCATGACCCAGTTGCATTGGGTGGTTGTTCAGACTCAAGTCTGCGAGCTTGTCAATGTACTAGGAACTGCACGTAGTTGCCTTTGCCGTCATCCAAGTGGCTGGATTTGTTAGGTGGAGTTTGGGGCAAGTGGATACTGCCCCTAGTGTCCTGAGTTGAAATTGCAATTAATTGGCCAGACCAGCATTGCACATGTCCTATGCTGGCACTATGCACCTTTACATAATCAGTTTGTTGGTACCCCATAGGTAGACAAAATAATAGGTTATGTACGCATCAGATATGTGTGTTAACACATAAGGTAAGCAAGATGCTGTTTTTTTGCCCCTAACCCTAAACCTAACCCAAACATCAGATTCCGCTTAAGCTGGTAAGGAAATTGTAGTGGGTCAAGTGTGACGTGCAGTGTGGAGGAGATGTGATCTTTGAGCAGTCCCACAAAACTCTGCATTAGTGCGACTGGGTGATAGTCATTTGGAGATGAAGGGAGGGGTTTGGGATGGAGATGATGGTCTTATTGAAACTGCTGCTTTGGCTCGGAGCCGCGATGAGTTGAATATGGTCGACAGCAGCAGAGCTAGCTGCTCAGTGCAGGCTTTCGGGGGGGGGGCTGCACCGTCCTGCTGCCTTCCTGCTGTTAAATTTCCTG